GAGGAAAAAAGAACTTTGTGGGGGGTTACCTCAGTGCATAATGAAATTGCAAATTCAAACTGTTTAAACCTGTTCTCCAGATCCAGAGGTCTTATTTAAAAATAATGTCACTTCCATTTCACCCTCTGGGAACCCCTCCAAGGCACGGAGAATTGCCACCTTTTTGTGACCTTCGGTTCCTTAACTGCCCCCATAGGAAAACTGACCTTGAAACTGTAGATATAACAAGAATAATTTTAAAGTTGATGTGGGGCAGGGACAGAAGTTTTATTCTCTCTGTTCATTGCTCTAAACACATGGATTCTCCTACACTGAGATTCACAGAAGTGGAGATAAAAGGTACAAAAAGACGCACATTAATTTCAAAGTAAGAACAAAGATAGCAAGACTGTCGCTTGGGATGGAGACTCAGCCAGTCATCCAGCAGCAATTTCCGGGAAGCTTTTGGAATAAGACAGTTTGTGATGGCCTCCAGATACACAGCTGATGCAGGCTCCCTGATCCCTCAGAGCATCTCAGGCCTGAAATGGAATTCAGAGTGTACAAGCATTTTTTCTTGTGTCTACAGGGGTTGAAGTTATACTCAGAATAGATTTCCACTCTGTTCAAGGACTTCATTTGTTTTCCAAATATTTTAAAATGAGATGTCCATCTGCTTATTGGTTTAAGCAGGAAAAGTCTGGTGAATTTACTCACAGAACTCTGACCTTTCCTCACAAATACTGTTCTTTAGGCACACAACAGATTAGAGGACTGTGGTTTCCTATCTTTCTCTTGGCATGAATTCTTATTCTGCTCCTGGGCACATTGGTTTCAAAGATTTTTGCCTTTAAAGCAACTCTTACTAAGTAACAATTGAAGTCTTTTCATCACTCTATGAAAATCTAATTAGAATAATAGCATTAGCACTCTGACCTGATAGAATTCTTTCTAGTCCAAAGAAAAGAAACTGTTGTTTGTGTGGGTTTCTATAGCTGAGAACAGACTGTGTAGTTATTTGGCATTTTTAATTTCCAAAAATAGCTTGTGGGCCCAATTCTTATCATTTTTGGGCTTTAAGAATTCAGAGGACTGTTTGTGTATTAGAAAAAGTATGAAGAACTAGAGTCCCAAGATCTATGGGACTTGTTAGCTGAGTGGGAGGGAAGAGAATATTCATACAGACCGAGTCTCGGGTTTCTATCAGAAAGGATAGCACCTACATTGATTATCATTCCACAGAGCTTTGTGAAATAAAGCCACTGAGGTACTGGAAAATTTTAACATGTATAGCCTTCTTCAAGAAAAATTTCTTTGCAGAAACCAACTTTTTAGAAATTGATATGATAAATGAAAAATTCATTTTCTTCACTAAAATCAACCAAACCAACCACAAAACAATGCTGTGAACCAGGAGATAACAATAATTTTCTTTCAGATCTTCCTAAAGGGATCAAAATGCAGACCTGTAGGCAATTGCTGTCGTTGGTGTTGCGTGCGTGTGTGCATGTGTGTGCGTGTGCATGCGTGCGTGTGTGTGTATGCATGTGGTTACTTTCCTGGAGGAGAGGAAAATACTCTGGTACTGAGTTTCATACCTTTATAGGGTCAAGAATATCTATGGAAGGCAGAAATGGAGAGCAAATATATACTCTGAGATTCTAAGCAAATAATTTAGAAAGGACTCCTGACTGTTTTATACATAGAATGAAAATAGTGTAGACACTGTGGGGTAAGCATGTTTCCCAAAACAGAATAAAGGACATGAATGTTTGAGTCTGACTGGCCTCAGCTCAAGTTTCACTTTGTCTTGATTAGTTTGTGATCTGGGCATTTTATATGCTTGTTATGGGAATTAAATGAAAATACATATGGATATAAAGGCAGCAGTTCATATCCTGGTCATAGAAACACTTGACCAGTGTAGAATATTATAAGTCCTTGTTTTCAGCTGCATACTTTGCTTTTCTCCTGGTGCTTTACTTTATAAGCATGATAACAAACAGGTATAGTGTACATGAGGTCAGTTGGTTGGAAACGGTACAGGTGGGTGTGTTCATGCAATTCCTGTTTGACCTTTACTGTCACATTCCTGAGGTACGTGTGAGGCAAGTTTGCAAAAACAAGAAACTCTTTTATCAAAGATACTCAGCTGACCACACTTTGTGATGGTATTTCTTTATCTCAGTCATATAAATTCTCAGGAATTGTGGCTGCTTTAGAATTTCTGCCTGATAGCTATTGAAATTTTTAGGCTATATCTGAATAAAAGTGGCCCTTTCTCTGGGGAGGGAGGCAAACAAAGCCTAATGACTAGAGATCTTTTACTGCTTAAAAGACATCAACAAACCTTTTGGACTTCAAGCCAATAGGGGTGTTTGAGTTACAGATGATAAGAGCTTTGATACCATAGGCTGTCGATGGTTTTCTGCTTTTAGCCTCTTTCTGCCCAATATTTTAGATTTCAATAAACATATTAGTTGAGTTGCATGCGATAGTAAATTCTTGAGTTCTCATGGAAGAATTGGGTGGGAGTCATTTCTCTCAAAATACTTCCGGTGGTATATGTTAGTTGGGACTCATAGGTTTGAGTTCTTGGGATAGAAAGGGCTTGGGAATGACTGCGTTTACTTAGGAACTATCCAGGACTCATACTATTATGGTGATTACAACCCTTAGAAATACTTTTTTTTGTTCTGTGTTGTTTCTCTTCCTTCTCCTCAAAGAATATCAAGAGTAGTTAAGTGCTGGCCTTTTGGTGATAGTGGCATCCAACTGGCTCCAGGCATGGCACATCGAAGGGCCGATGCTCAACCTTTGTGTAACTGAGCCTTGGTGGCCTCCAGTTTATGATCCTTCATGTGCTCACCTCTGTGCCTGCTTGAGAGGTTGGAATCCTGGCTGTTTGATTCACTCATTATATGATCCTAGCAAATTAATTAACCTCTGTGTTCTGACTTTCTCATTTGTATTAGAAAATCAATGCTTATTAAGCCAAGTCCATCACATGACTAATTTCCCTCTGTCTAATATCCAATATATATGAAACAGAGAAGTATAATATACCTTCAGGGTCTTCCAGTGTACAGTTGACTCTGAACTAGATTCTCCACGAAAAGGACAGGCTGGTCTCATGTGTCTGTCCCTAGAGCAAGCACTGGGTAAATCTGACCAGTGTGTTTCAATGTACTGAGACTCTGCCTTCTCAAAACCACTTCCATGACTTATGTTATCTAAAGACATCCTCTAGATAGTGGACTGACATTAGCTTTTTACAGGGCTTAATATCTTTCTGGAATGCTGAGTTTTCAAAGCTCTGCATACATAACATTCCTGGGACGCAGCCCAGACTAATACCAAATGGCACGTGAGGTTTGCATGTGCACCGGCCTCAATGACTTCATCTAGCTGACTGCTGCAGCCATGAAAATTCCAGCCACAAACCTGAAACGAGTCACTTAGCTCCACACATGATGGGCCAGAAAGATATCAAATAATACTATCTTATTGAAGACATGGCCTGACCTCTTCTTAAAAGGAATTGAGAAAAAACAAGGCTTACCTATAGTAGGCTCTAAGAAGAATTATAAGAGCCAACCACATTGGACCTGACAGATGTATGTGGTGCAATGTTCCTGCAATCAGGGCATTACATTTGGAATTAAAAATGAAAGTGTCATGTTCATTAAAAATAATATTTCCATTTTATAATCTGAACCCCAGGAACTGAAGAAACACAACTTCGGGGAGGTGGGAGGCGTGCAATCTGACAATTATGTCATTTGGAAGAACAATAGAAAGGGCTGGACTAAAAAGTTGCTCAATAAAAATAGCTGAAAATCGAATCCACCACCCCTCAAAATAACATTTCCAGAATAGGTAAGCTTGAAGGGAAAAGTTCACTCCATAACCTTACTCTTTCTAAAAAATCACTTAATAACATAGTTATTTCCTATATATCTTCAGTGACAGACAAAGCTCTCTCCAAAGTCACAAACTCTTGTGCTTGAGGTGAATCAGATATCAAGTTTGCGGATGAGTCTTGTTCGTGTTTATTAATCATTAATCTTGGAGGGTCTTTGTGGTGTTTTTCTATTTTAAAATTTTTTATGGTCCTGGGGATTGAACACAGAGCCTTCACTCTGACTTACATACCTAGTCATTTTTTATTCTTTTACTTTGAGACAGGGTCTTGCTAAATCACTAAATTGTTAGGCTGGGCTCAAATTTGTAGTCCTCCAGCCTTAGCTTCCCAGACTGTTGGGATTACTGGTGTGTGCTACCAGCCTGCCTTCTTGTGGTATTTTCTACTCTGGGTAGGAGTCTGATCAGAAAAGAATACAGACTGTAGCTTCAGAGAAGGGTCCCCTCTATGTTATCATGTGTCTATCCCATAGAGAGTCTGGGGCAATGGCCCTGGTGGTCCTTTAGAGGCAGGAAATAGCACTGCTTGAGTAAATGATTGACCGATCTGGTTGCTTGATGTGATAAGCTTATGTAAATAGGCCTTATGGTGCTCCAGGACTTTCAGAATTTTAACTCCCTAGGTTCCAACGCAGAAAAGTACACATGAATCTCTGAGAGATTCTGTTGTTAGAAGGCAATGGCCCTGTGAATGGCTCCTTGGACAATATGTTCTATGTATGTTGTCCTGTTATATTTTTAGAAAGAATTCATGCAAATAAAATTCTGGAACAAAGCCACAACTATGAAACCACTACTAATGGAAAAATTTCAATAAATAGAAATACAATTTCTTATAATAAAAGACAAAAAAGGAAACATTCCATGTTTTTGAACTTTATAGAAGAACACCAAGAACTTCTAGAAGAGAGACAGGCTTGAAGAATAGACAGGTTATACTCCAGAAAAAGCTCATAGATAAGTGATTCCCCTGACACACACTCACATCCACCACACTGCATTCAGAAGATCATTGTCATACACTCTGATCACAAGGCTAAGTGGGATATTGTCTTATGACCTTGAGGGACGGACCAGTGAGTAGACAGATCACCTACCTTGGTTGCTGCTTTTCAATTCAGATTCTTCTCTAGCTGTTCCTCTAGCTCTAACTTTTGCTGGAGAACATGAAATTCTGCAAAGAAGCATCAACACAATTTTCTGGGCATGAAAGTGAGCTGATCTCTCAATTTTATTCTCGCTTTTCTTCAGCCTCACAGAGAACGGTTGCAGGAAGCAACTTGCTTGCAGCAAGGTATGTTGACAGATGTGAAGGAGGGAGTCTACACTAGTCTCTGCCCCTGGCCTAGCCAATCATCACACACCAGGCCAGGTTTCTAGTCCTAAACAAAACCAATCAGAAAGCAGAGTAACAATATCAGGGTGTGCAACAGAAAAGGGAAGAAAGCAGAGATGGAAAGCTGTTGACTATCCAGCAAAACAATTACCTCATAGCTGCATCCACGAAGTATACAGGAGGCCCTGAGAATCATCTACATAAAAGAAGAAAATTTTATTTCTTCAGATTTCAGCAGTCTTAAAAGGAGATTTAGAGAATATTTTATAAAATCTTCTATTTAATAATAGAACATATAAGGAATTTCTTGTCTGGCAAGAATCATCTAGCCATTCTTTGTAGTAAGTATGGCTGCATTTATTAAGAGTACATTGTATGTTACACATTCTATAAACATTATCGCAAATCCTCATGATAACTTGGAATTTTATTCCTTTTTATGGTTGAGGGAACAGAGACTCAAAAGGAGAATGGTCATGTAGCCAGCAGGAAATGAGGCTGGGTTTAAAACTCAGGTCTGCTCTAAAATCAATGCCAGTCAATAATAAAGTTTTCACAATACATTTCATGAAATAGAATGGGGGAGGTGTGTGTAGAATAATACCTTCCAAAAGGTACCCATACCTAATCTCTAGAACTAGGAATGTATTACTCTCTTGGTTACTTTTCTCTCATAACTGAGACAAAATACTGACTTCCAAATTGAGGAAGGAAAGGTTTATTTAGAGGTTTAGTCATAATCATCTGGCTCCAAGGCAGGATGGCATGGCAGAAAGGCAACAGTTAATGGAGGTGGAAGACAAAAGCAACAGGACAAAAAGGAGAGGGAAAGGAGCCTATTTTCCTCCCTTGTATTGTATGCAGACCACCTGCCATAGGGCGGGTCCTCAGCATCTTAGGATGTAGAACTGTGAGTAACTTAGTTAAGCTTCTGAACTTCTCAAGTTGACACAATGTATCAATCACTACAACATTCTAATGTGTAAACAGCTGCCTCCTACCCCATGACTGCATAAGGCTTTCGGGGGACATCCAGATGTAAACCATAACAGTTACCGCATGTGGTACAAAAGATTTTGCAGCTATGATGAATACATAAAGGATCTTGAGATGGAAACATAGCCTGAATTGTTCAGGTGGGCACCAGGGAATCACAAGTGCCCATATAAGAAAGAAGAATCAGAGATGTGACTAAGAGATGCACAGTCAGAACTGGCAACTCTGTACCCTTACTTTGGGTCTTCAGAAGGAGCATGGTCCTGGAGGCTCATTTTGAACTTATGACTCCAGATCTACAAGCCAATAGATTTGTGTTTTGGGGAGTTGCCAAGTTTGTGGCTATTTGTGACAGTAGCAATAGGTAGTATTGCACACTCCCCTTAAACTTTTCATTATGGTGAGCTCACTATTCCACTTAGCATCCCATTGACATAGGAATGATCTCATTAACCACTTAATAGTTTACCCCAAGCATCATTTGGGCAGTGCTTTTGTTTAGGTACTGACTACCTAGAGAGTTGCATGAGCAGGTGTCATTTCAACCAGTCAATTCTTGTTTGCATTTATAGCTACTATTTTTGCATACTTTTTTAAATCTAGGACATTGTGTTCACCTTTAGTATTTGTTCCTAGTGAAATCTAATAATAAATTCTCATTATTTTCTTTTACCAATTCATGTTTATTTATGAAGAATAACCTGGGAGTCAAGATGCTAATTTGCCCTTCCTGTGAGCCAGCACAAGTCATGCCAGGCCCAGGAGGAGAAACATGGCAATTCACCCTTCCCATGAGTCAGTGGAAGTCATGCTGGGAGGAGTAACAAAAAGCCAATCTGTCCTTCCCATGAGTGGGAAGCCATGCAGGAACAGGAAGGAGAAACAAATCAACTCACCTTTCTTGTGAGCCAAATAATGTATAGGCTGGGAGACAAGAACACCTCCCTACCCTGTGAGTAACCAGCTGATTTGGACAGGCTGAGTTGATAGTAACTGAGGTACAAAAACAACATAATGCTTATATTGTTTGATTGACTTTGCAGGCCTAAGGCTGGTAGTCTGAGCATCTTTTAAGAGGATAAAAATAGGCAATATAACAAATGTGGGGGATTTCCTTTTGTCTTGTTTTTGAAATTCAATTTTGTTCTCACTGTTTTGTTTTCTTTCATTTTATTGCTTTGATTTATTCAATGTTCTGTTTTAATTGGTTGTATTCTGGTCTGTTTTATTTGATTTTATTTTGTCTGGTGGTATGGGCTGCAATTTTGAAGATAACAAAGGGCATTATGGTAGCCACTGTTGATTTCCTATTATCTATTTTGATATTCTGTGTCACTTTCATTGTTTTATTTTGATTGGCTTTATTCTGTTTTATTTTGTTTGGTTTTATTATCTTAAACTAAAACAAAATATAGAAAAATAACCTGATTTTATGCTAAAATTTATAAAAACTCTTATAAGTACATTAGATATAATTTTTATACTTCTCAAGGTATTAATTAGCAATATAAAATGACACATTTGGGACACTGAGACTGAACAGGAAGGAAATGCCAAAAGACCTACAAAAGAAAAAGCTGAAAAAGGGAGAAATGTTATCATATCATAAAGGAAAGTCTGTGATATGAAATGGAAGGACAAAAAGGACATATCTTGCTATAGCATTTGAAGTTATACTCGAATAATTCAAGGAATGAGGCAGTATGGTGACTACTATTATGTTAGATTATCTGGTGGTGAAACACAATGATGCTTAAATTGTTTGGTTCTGACCTGTGTTGTTCTGTTACAATGTCCTCTTTTATCTCAATCTCCCCCTCTTTTTAAAATTAATCTATTTTTTTCTCATTTTTTTCAATTAAGGGAAAACTAAATTTAAAAATAGCAGGATATATTATACTAACTTTTTTGTTTTCCTATTAACCTGATTTGAACCCCAGTATTTCTCTCCCCATCTTGTTCTGTCTGATTTTACTATATTCTATTTTGTTTGATAGTATCAAAGTTTGAGGGTATAGGCAACCACTTCGAAGGCAATAAGATATACTATGATGCCCATTATGGTTTGACTATTGTCTTCTTTTGAAGTCCTATAAGGTCTCCAGTGTAGGTTTTATTGGTCTTGTTCTGTACTGTTTTGATCAATTCTATTATACCTGATGATATAGGCAACTCATTTTAAAAATAGCAAGAGGCACAATGGTAACCACTTTTGATCACCTGGTATTCTATTTTTGCATCATGTACTATGCCCATCCTTCTGTTCTGACTCTGTTTTGCTTAGTCACATTTGGTTTTATTCCCTTCAAAAAAAAGTAATAAGAACTGTGGGAGTAATAAAACCCAAAAAGTGTAATTGTTATTGTAAAAAAGAGAGGAAAGGAAGGTGGACTAAGGGATACAACTACATGTATGTTTGAGTGTGTAGGATGGAAAACCATATTACTGAGCTTTTGTTGGATCATTGAATGGAACTGTCTCCAATCTCATTGTATGAATGTCCACTTTATATGCTTTAATTTTATAATTTGGCCAACTGTTTCTAAGAAGACGATATGTAACCTATTAACTAGTGATTTCTTACTGTATACTTTTCTTCCTTGAAATTCTGTATTACTTGTACCCTTTTACTGCTTTGTCTTTTTACTGTCCTTTCTTTTTTCTCTTTAAATAAAAAAAAGGACATGTCTTTGCTGTCATCTATCCATAAAACAGAAATCATGGAACTTGAAAAAAGAAATTAAATTAAAAAATTCTAATAGTGGTCAATGATTGTAGTAGTTCTATGGGTGATGTTGATAGAGTTGACCAACATCTAACAAGCTATCTTGTAATCGAACAGTGAGGGAAAATATTACTATAAAAGTTTATGCACCTTCTGGACCAAACAGCATAGAACTCATTTATTACTGATTCCAAACAAGGGGGTTAAAAACATCATTCATAATTTAGATTATGTCTTCTAGACCAAATAATCGAAATGTGCAGGATAGTGAAATGCCAACCAGGTTGTATATCATCAATGTTTTCACCATTATGTTTGATGGGAAGACATTTTATTGTAATTATACCACCCACAGAAAAACGGAAAGACCGACAAACACAACTGTGTAAAGTTTGTTATTCAAAGAAAGACAATAATGCAAAAAGAATTTGAAAAGATAGTAGATACTACGGTCCAAATTGTGATGTTGTGCTGTGTACTGAATGTTTTAAGATATACCATACACAGAAAAATTATTGAATAAATTTGATAAAATTGTCATTTTTATATTTCTTGTTATATTATCTCATAAAAGCTTATAAAATGCACTTTGGGTCATCCTGTCTTTAAATAATCAGACTGCTAAGTGGTTAAGATGAGTCCCGCCTCGTGCAATGGCAACCCTGCTTTACTTCTTCCCTGCAGGAAGGCACTCAGCCAGGCAGTTAGGAACTGTAGGAAGCAGCTTTGAGAAGGGCTGAACAATCTGGATTCTAGCCCTATCTTTGCCTTAGGCACTCAGTTTGCTCCAGACTTTCAGCTTTTTCTCCTGTAAGAGAAATGTCTAGCACAAGTGTTCTTTGATCACTTCCAGATTTAAATTTTTGACCACTTATTTGAAATATTCGAAGATACTGTCACCTCTTTCTCAATTTTCACCATTCCAGTACCCCCCATTTTTGTGTGTAACATGGCCTGTGGACCGTTTCTTCTGGTTGTTCTTCCTTAGGGAGGATCCGGTTTACTAGTTTTCCTCTGAAATGTGGTATCCAGATCTGCACGTAGTGCCCCGGCCATCACTATTGTTCCCTCTGGTCTCTGACCACAAAGTCTTGCTAGATACGACGATCTGTCACATGGGCTGTTGTACACTCCGCTTAGTCTGTTCTTGTCTTGTTTTATCTGTCTCTTTCAAGAGGGCACCTGTACTGAAAGAAATCTACATGAATCTTAACTTAGTTTATTTTAGGAAAGACTAAAACGTTTTAATGCCAGCCTAAATTGGCCATCGTTGCTTGCTTAACATTTAGTAATAATTCATTCTCAAAGATACTGCAAACATAATGCTTTATAACTTTTTAGAATCACAAATTTGTTTGGAGAAGGTAGTGAGAGCTATGGATCCTCTACCAGAAAAAAAACCAGCACATTCATCTGAGATTTCATGAATTTTTTAATGGTATTTCAGTTCTCCTGAAATAGTACACTGGCCTTCCTGTGATGGAGTAGTTTAGTTCTATATTTACAAAGTTTTTGGTGGGGGAGGCTTTTTAAAAGTCAGTTTCACATTTTCTTCCTCTTGAACTGTACAAAGGCCCTAAAAATGAAACCCCTGAGCTGAAACTGAGTGAACACCCAGTGAGGGTCAGGGCAGAAAGTTTTCAGGCCAAAAAACAGCTAAGTTCTCAGGTTAAACAAAGAACAGCTTTCAGTAGCCTCGTTTTGCAAAAAGAGCTTTGCTTCTCAGGATCTTTCTGTAGGACATAAATCCTATTCTTTGGATCCCCAGTCCCTTAGATTGAAGCCATCTGACCGCCTATGGCTCTAACAATTGCATGATGTTCTTGGACAGAGGCTGATACTTCTGTGTCTCCTCTCCCCTTGTTACCCCAAACATTGCCCAGCTGTGAAAACACCCCAGTCTAGTTAATGCTTTTGTTTTAGTGGCATTTGTCCAAGACGTACTGGGTGAGGTTTGAAGCACATGGGCTTTGGCCTCCGTCCCGCCCTTGGAATCTCCTACCCTCTCTGACAATGAAAGGTTTCAAGTCTTAAATATACAAGATAGTTATACTACTAGCTTCTATTAGTTCATTGAAAACAAAGGTCATTGTTTGATCCATTTTTCATGCTTACAACTTGTAATCTGAGCAACTACTTTGAAGGTAATAATACACACTATCTTAACCATTTTTACTCTCATTATCTTTTTTAGAAATTTTGTGTTATTGTTTTTCTTGCTTTTTCTCTTTAAAAGAATAATAATAACACTCCTTTGGTCATAGTGAGCAGATTTGCAGAGGGATAAACAAAAGTGTACTGTTGATCAAGAATTCCTATGGGGTAGAGAAAAACCACAACAAAAATCCAAGACCCTCAGGCATTCTAACCTCAGGAATCAGAAAGGGAATCACTTTCAAAGTGGGGCTGGTTCACTGCATTCCATGTGTACCCAGCACAGTCGTCAGAGGGACTGACTCTAAGATGTTTATTTCCACAGTTTAAGTTAAATTGCTCTTCCCAAAAAGAACAATGTACAGACTATGTGAACCTGAAGGGGGACTTGTATCACTCTTTAGTTGAGAAAAGAATATTTAGAAAGAGTATAAGCTAAACTCAGTCTTTGGCAACAGTGTGTGGTAGAATCAACTGCACTAGTTTCCATCTTTTTTCCCCCCAAAATTGGGAAGGATCAAAAACTTATTTCCATAGCTTCTTCACAAGTCTTTCTTTAAAAACCTGAGTTAAGTTGATTTTGAAAAGAAATTTTGTATCATTGGGCATTTTAAAATCACTTGCTATGAAGAGATGTTTGCTACAAAATAAATACAAACAAAATGTCATTGTCAGCTAGATACTATTGCCCTTTTGTTAAATAAGGGAGAGACAGTTTCGCTCATGAAATTGAGACTTTCCTCTTAACTAATCTTAGCTGACTGTTGATTAATGATATTATTAGTTAAGGTGAGGCCATTTTGTTGATTACTGATATTATTAGTTAAGGTGAGGCCATTTTTGACTCCAGATCTTCGTGTATTCCACCAGTGGCAATGTGCCCACTCCTAGAGAAATGTATGTTTGGTTGAGTAAATGGCTACACACCAAAATACTTCTCCTGTGATGTTTCCTTAAAAATAAGGGATCAGAATCTCCAAGGACTGAATTTAGAAATATATATTATGTAATGCTTCCAGATGAAGCTTCCAAAGGTGAGCACCTAGGACAAACCTGGGATGTTGTCTGGATGTCCTCATTATACATCTCTGCCACTGATGACCACCTCCTTTACCTATTAAAAGAGAGAAAGACGCAGTTTAAGCACCCAACACCTCCTGATTGCCTTGACCTTTTGCTGCAAAGGCTGTGTGATCTTGCCACATAAGGACCTTTTACATACTTTTGCTGTCTGAGTATACCTGTATTGTCTTTCATTAGTTTCTGCTAAATAATTCAGTCACAACAAAGGTTATCAGTCAGTCATGTTACAAGGATTGGATTGGATGCTATTTGGAGAAGGTGGATGCAAAATCCCAGTCCCTACTAAAAGACAAATAGCTACTATTGAATATTTACAATGTACTATGTTCTGGGCTAAAATGCTTTACATACATGTTATTGGGGTTTCTAGTTTTCTCATTTGTTTTACAACCCTCATAGAAGGAATAATTAGTTTATTATTCTACATACATAATACATAGATACAGAATTTACCAAAGGTTCTACAATCAGGATACACTGAATTTGAAATAGAAACCCAGGTCTGCTCATTTACTATGTGTATAACCTCACTGTAATATAATAAATTAATGTGTAATTAGATATTAAAGAGTTTATGCATAATGCAAGAGTTCTAGTGTCACAGAGGAAATGTCTCAACTGAAAGATCTTTTCAAAAATTGAGCAGAACAGCAGTTTTTTCTGCAATTGCACTATATACTTGCTTTGCTTATGTCTGAATATACCTGCTTTGCTTATGTTTGTATCTGGCCCAGACATCATGTGATTTATCATTAAAAAACAAAGGATAATTATTGAATGTAATGCTTGATAGAGCTAACCAGAGAACAGTATATTTCCCCAAACACTATATATACTGGTAGAACATTTTTATTATGATACTTATGATATGTTCTTATAGAATAGCTGTGGTATACTATGTATCAAAATATAGCTATACTTTTATTATATATGCATACACATCCTTATTCCTAATTACCTGATCCAATATTTGACTATAAGAAATATTACTTGGAATTAATTTGATCTCTGCTGAAATCATACAAACAACTTCTATTATCAATCCATTATTTTTGTAGAGTATAAAGCAAGAAATAAATTCATGGAGATTAAGTGTTGTTAGATACTCTATTTTAAAAAATTAGGAATAAAATATTGAAATCTTCACCGCAATAGAAACTGCAGGTCTATTCTTACTGTGTGCACAAATATTTTCAGCATTGCTCTATTTCTGGGCAGTTAGCAAAAACTCAAATTAATGGGCTAGAGTTGGTGGTCAAGTGAGACACAGATGTCAGTAAGGTCTGGTGCACATTCAGTGGAGATAACGAGAGCTAAAGGTGGACCTGGAAAAGCACAGGACACATATATTTCACACAAAGTTGCTTTGTGGGACTGCAGGCATATGCAGCTAATCCCAGAATGTGTTAGACAGGCTAAGAAGATTTTCATGCAATACTGTATAATGAGGTATTTTAGTGACATTGAGTCTGTAGCTCTTTAAATAAGAAGTAGACCAATAATAAAATGTTAATTTACACAAAGGAAAAATGTGGGTCAAAGTTTTATGTTTATTATTAGGTTGAAGTCCATTTATGTAGTTCAAATCAAATACAAGAAAACACATCATGTCATGATACACATTTACATATTTTCACAGTTAAAATGAGGTATTTGGCTTTACAATATGCTAGATTGAACAAAGCAATTTAACTGAGGTTACAAGAAAGAAGAGATATATTTGAATACTTATATCCTAGAGGGAAAAAAGCCAAGTGAAATGTGTGTAGATAAGCCACAAAATACATTTTAAGAGTATTAAGTAGCATATATGCAAAATTGTTATCCTAACTTTAAAATTGATACAATTATTTTAAATTAGTAAACATGCACTCTAGTATAAAATGAGTAAAAGCAGACAAAATGTAATATCTGTTAGAGCATTTATCAGATATATAAATTATCTGCTTTGACTAAGACTTATTTTGACTAAGACAATTTCTATATTTTTAAAATTACTGATCAGTGAAGTTAAGTGTTACAGTTGGCATATACATAATACAAATAATGCATACACAATCTGTATTTAATATTTAATAATGTGGTATAAATTAGTATAATAGCAGCAATAGTATTATTTTTGACTATGTTCTACAATATAGCATATTAATACTGTAGATTCTTAACTGAAGCGTTATTAGTGCTATGAACTAATAACAAATGTAAAGCTGCAAATATACAGAGCTACTGAAGGCTTTTATTTGATCCTCCAAAGTGCTGTGCTTCGTACTGGGCTGAAATTTGTGAGTGAGCCTGTGCTATTTGATCTAAGTATTGATCCCAAGTTCCGGGTTCCAATCAAGTACAGTTCTAATGACAGAGTGAGAGTGAGGAGCAGAACAATGCATCTGAGAAGACCAGGCAGCAACAGGGCGCGTGGGAGATCACTGAGTGCACCCGACTTCTGCCAGCACGCTGTGCTCAACAGTAACTAGCAGGTGGAGGATGGCTAGAAGACAGAAGAAAGTGGTACCCTCTGAAAAGACAGGAGGGAACGACACGGAAGATGTCTCTAGAACATTGACAGGGTGCCTCAAAGGGCTCTGGGATTGATTCCCAGAAAAGAGAAAGGAAACATCTTATTTACATTAGAAATGAATTTGAGGGCTGAGGATGTGGCTCAGTGATAGAGCTCTTGCCTTGCATGTACAAGGTCCTGGGTTTGATTCCCAGCACCACAAAATAAATAAATAAGTAAATAAATAAATAAATAAATAAATAAACAAACAAATAAGCAAGCAAATAAATAAATAAATAAAATTGAAAAAACAGTTTTGTTGGAGAAGATGTTAAAATACTACAGAGATGCTAAAATGCTATATTCTTAAAGCAGGATAGTATTAGAACATTTTTTGCAGTGTATAAGACTGTGGTATTTTAATAAAATCAGTAATATTTTGTAGTGTATATGCCCAGGTCACAGTTTCTGGTAAGAAGTTTGTGGAATCTAAGGCTAAGAAGAAAGTGGTTCTCTTGGGGCAGTAAAGAGCTATCCAGAATCATCTAGAATTGAGGGTAAAGTTTCTCGGCAAACCACCTGTTATTTCATCCAGCCAGTCCTGCATGGTTGAGGAAACATTTGTGAGCAACAAAACTCTAGGGGCAAATGCCAGGGAACAGCGTGAGGCAGAAGGCCAAGACATACTAGAAAGTCAGTGGAATTTAGAACCACTACCTTGGTCTTCTCTACCACACCCCAGAACTTTCTATCTATTTGCATATTTGATGGTATCAATTTACATTTGTTTCCCATTACCACAACAAAACTATTTGGCATGTACTGGGAAAGCAGATGTTTCAGGGACCTCCAAACATGTTGATAGATTTCTTTGAGCCCTGAATATTTCATTGTACAGCCCAGATGAGATACCATGCCTAGTCAAGTTCTGGGAACCTACATCACACTCTTGGGAAATGAGCCCAAACCGCATTCTCCACATACATGCCCAGAAGGAAGAATCAGAACTGTACATTCTGTGACTGTGAAACATTCAATCTAAACGTCATTGTATTTTGGGGTGCAAGTTGACTGGAGTTAGCAAAGGACTTGGCACTAAAGGAGCAGTACCTTTATGAAAAAGGAAAAAGCTGGGGATGACTTAGCACAGGACCACTTGCTCAGCTTAGGAAGGGGAGTCTCATCCCACTCACTTGTCCACAGAGAATAGCATCACAAAGCTTCGACCGTGGCACAAACTTGGTCTGTGATGGCCTGGTTTTGTATAGCCCTTTTGCTTCCCAGGAAAAAAGAAATACTCCATTTCAGCCTGAATTTCTTCTGTTTCCACCACCAGCTTTACCCTATGCATTCTTGCTGGGACAGAATCATGTCTATTTGGGAGCACTTTATAATGATTAAGATTAAGAAAACCAGAGACGGAAGTCCTGACACACCAGAAAAGCTTCATTTCACAATGATACAGTATATTGTCTTAAGGGAAACATAATTTTTATGTGAATATGAAATTCTGAAAAAAGAACAAAGATTTATAAGATTCATCATTACCCGCAGGGCATGGTGGCGCACTGTTGTAATCCCAGCACTCAGGGGGCTGAGGCAGGAGCAGTTCAAGACCAGCCTGACCTACAAAGTGAGCTCTAGACTAGCCTGAACTGCTTAAGGAGACCCGGTCTCAAAAAGACAAACAAACAAACGAACAAAAATTCATCATTACTTAGACATACACCTTGTGCTTTTCTTTGGATTTATATAAAATCCTGGATTTCAGCTGCGGCTATTCAAAACTCAGTTGCCTGAACTCAACACGAAGGAAAATAACAATTACTATCAAATTGAATGCAGGAAACACATTTTTTTGCACTGTCCTCTTAAATGTGCCATTAATATAAAATACCACAATAACCTTCCATCAGGTCCATCTCGACCCCTGCTTCGAGTTCAAATAAGATCTTCTCTACCCATGACACTACATGGTACGTCTAACAGGATCAGAATCAAAACTCTGAAATACTGCTCTAACATCATCGACACCCGTTAGGGTCCCTTTGCCACAAAAATCACAGAGATGTGGCCAAGTCGGAGTGGTCCATGAGCTCACAAAAACTCAGCTGTATTTCTGAATATATATAACTGCAGATTCTGCACAACTAATTCCTTGGTGGCTCTGTCACATGGCTTTTTGCTGATCTTGAAGTTAATTCTGAACAAGTGTGAGAACATTGTTTTGACCAGAAAAATTCCTAGAACTTGTGAGAACTTGTGAGATGTGGTAGTGTCATCATTCTTACTGTTGGATGTCACAGAGTGACTCTTTAAGTTAAGGCCTGTTTCCTCTCTGAGCCATAGTCTTCAGCTCTCCTTCGTGGACTCAAAGTTAAAGAGCAGAAAGCACACATTCTGTACAATATGGGAAGCCTTTTTCTTGGAACAGAGATTCAAGTGTTTATTTAGGAGAAAATTGTAAACAATCCTCCTCCTACTTCCCAGGACTCTGGTGCAGACTTCAAATCCAAGCACTGCTGACCACTCAAAGCAGCATGAGGAGGTGGGTAACCCACTTACCACGCCGAGTGGGGCTCCACACTTGCAACCTGGAAGTATTCTGTGTCCTGGTGTCACTCTGGGTGACTTTTCTCTTAGGATGCCGACACTGAGCTGCGCTTAAATGTCACAATCCAAGTGAAGTGCAACTACATATTTAAAAACTAAGGAAGGAAAGTCAAGTAAACATTTCACTGAACAGTTAGCAGCCATTGGGTGTCATTGGTATCCTGCGCAGATACCTGTCAACACATCTGGCCTCATAGCACCAAGTATCTAGACAAAGCCGAGGCTCAAATAAAACAGAGAAATATAATTCTCTTGCCTCCCTATCTCTTTGCCAAGTACCAAAGGGTTGAAAGTGGGGAACTGATGGAGTCCCTGGGAATTGACTAAGAATTTAAAAACAAAATGAAAAGTAAGAACAAAAATAAAACCACAGGAAAAGCCAGGGATGTCAGAGCTTATCACTAAGGTTTAATAACAGAGTTGAAGGACAATGGAGAAAGTAAGGACACTCCTTTTTTATTATTATTATTCTGAGAGTGTCCTATAGAATTTGACATCACTGTTACAGAAACCTGACTGGGGAGTTCAAATGCAAGAACAGGGGAAGTGGACCCAGATTCTCCCAGAGGTATCTGTGTGTGACCTTCTCGAGCTATGGAAGTCGGGGCTTAAATTACTTTACAGAAAGTAAAGGCTGCAAGACCAACAGCTGGGGGTTGTGCATGTGCTTTTAGTAGCTCACTTATGACACTCCCCACTGGAGACAACATGCTATACAACTGACTATACAATCAAAGGATGGGAAGAAGAAATTGCTGGGAGAAGGGTCCAGTGGTCTCTATAAACGCACACATCCATTCTGGATTCCAGGTTTTATTTTCTCCTTAGGAACCCAAAAGCTGATACTTCCTTACAGATTCTCTGAAAGCATGGAGGGGCATTAAACTGTCCACATCCCTGTGCCCAGGTTTATTTTCAGCTTGCTTCTTTCCAGAATTCTGGAGAGTCTACTAAAAGAACTATAGAGTTCTCCAGGCCATTTCATCTTCTATCCCAAGGCATGGCTTGGCAATGGCTTCTTAATGTGGACTACATCCAAACAGAATTCTCAGCAGGCTGAGGGAGCAAGGACATTTAGAGCAGAGTCCAAGGTCATCCACAGGCTGGGATGTGTGGTCCTGCTGAGGGGAGCAAGACCACAGCGGAATCTTTCCTGGGCAAGAAAACGTCAATAAGCTTCTCTGTGAATGCTCCTGAAATAAGAAGCACTGAAAATACTAACTCTAGACATAAATAAATAACCAAAACACAAGAGGGTTCCTTATAGACAAGTACCTCTTCTCAATAAAAAAGAAAGTCTCCCTTGAGCTTCAACACTCTCATGCAGTAGTGACAAGTAGGCTCAGAACAACCTGCAGAAAGCAGAACAATCAAGACAAGAACTGGAAATGTTCCAACACTGCGTATTTCTCATTTGATGACACACGAGTCATCCTAAATGCCCCGAGGTAGTCTTGTTTTCAAGGAGTCACAGAATGGCTCCAGAACCACTTGGAGCCTCCTCCTTTAATGCCATTGCACTTTCCCAAATATCCTGTGACAGCTTCCATGGTGTCATGGACAAGGTGCCTGCAATTCCAAGATGTGGATGAAGATCCTACTCTAAAGAGGTCTTGGCCAAACGATGCAAGTGCTTACCTGGCAGTCATTTTGGGAAAAGCTGCAGAATCAAATCAAAGAAATCTGGCATGCAAGTGACACACACGTCTCTCTTTTGTTGGGCCCCACAGTGCAATGATCAGCCATCACTGCTCTTTTCACTTTTAGGAAGAGGCCAAAAGAAACAGACATGGATCCACGTTTTAAAAATGAGAAACATATTCTGATACCAAGGGCAGTGATTACTGTCTATCTGAAGAATTAAGGTGATCAGTTACCTGCACAAGCCGTGCACAAACAGCTTGTGGCTGAAACATCTTGCTGATAAAAAAAAAAAGCCTCACTTGAGAGTCAAGTCTCAGGCAAGATGTAGTGACATCCAATCGTCCTAGAGAGAACTGGTGCTGGGCCTTCCCCTCACATTGCCAGGCTTAGTCAGAGGAACAAGGCACGGCAGACCACAACTGCAATAAGCCATTCTTTTGACCAAAAATGCCTTCCCTAGTTCAGTACTGCCATGGCTCAGACACAAGACCCTGGAAGACAGGAAGGAACCAGGCCAATCAAAGGAAGCTCTGCCCTCCAGTGCATCTGGGAGAGCCTACTTTCATATTCCATTTACCAGCCTAAGCCACTGGGAAGATTCTAACTTTGATTACACAAATCATGTCTTCTCCCCTTGGACTTGTTTTTTTTTTTTAAGCCCTCATTTGGGCAAAATGCAATTAAATGCCCTGTTTTATCCAAATGGCCCTGTGAGGAAGGAAAAGAAAAAAGCCCTTATCCTCCTTACTCACTTTCCCATTAGTGACGAGGGGCCATCCTAACAGGAAACCCTTCAGCACTCTACCCTGAATCAACAATTTCAATGTTAAGTTAAACAAAAAACTAAATCAGCATTTAGCCAATGATCTGTTCTCTTGCAGAAGGTCATTCAACTCAATAACAGTTGTGGCAAAGTCCACCAGGTCCACGAAGTCAGAGGTGATGATGTTGACACCCATGGCTCCAGGCTTCTGACTTTTCACCCAGTCCAGAATTGCAGGAAGGTTTCTATACAGAAGAGTGTTGGGAGAAGAGAGAGCAGAGCAGAGTTTAGAAACCCTCAGAAACGGAAACAAAAAATTTCATTAAAACAATAAAAGGATGACAATAAACTTTATGTTACTTTAAGCTTTATTCCTTCATCAAGGATAACGTCTCTATTCGATAAGTTTGTTTGATGGGAAAGGAGGTTATTTACCTCAGTCATCAGAGTGGTAACCACGTCAACAGAAGCTTGAAACACTAAGCTCAGGAGTCTAGTTATTTGTAGGTTCTTTGATTTTTTAAAAATCATAAACAATTCCAAATATATAACAACATGAGAAGAATTTCACATTAAGCTCAATTCTACCGCTTGAGTCTCCCATTTGTTTGGTTACACAGTACTAGCTTGCCACATCTATCACCAATCCATCACTACCCTCCCATCAGTTCATCTTATATTTTGATATAGTCCAATTACATATATATATATATATATATATATATATCCCCTACAAAATTCAGCATCCATATGATAACTATCATGCATGAAAGTATGCATCCAATATTTAATTCCAGTTTGTTTTTCCTTTGAAATAAAGGCTACATTCAATAAATGCACACTCTTAAGTGTACACTTGGTGAAAGTTGATATTTACAAATAATGCAAATATCTATCAAGGTACAGAGCATTACCAACACCCCAGAAAGTTTTGCTATGCACTTTCCCAATCAATCCCTCCTTTATTATCCCAGAAGTGACACCTGTAATGATATTTTTCCTTCCATATACAGTTCTTTACCTTTAAGTTAACTGTTAAGTATGTATTCTTTTGTGTGAGCTTTCTTTTATTGAGGATAATGGTTTTGAAATGTACTCATGTGGTCATAGCACACTGCACAGTATTCCACTGTATGGATGTAACAATTTGTTTATCCTAATTCTATCGATAGATACATGAGCTGTCCAATTCTGAGTATTTCTAGTAAAACTGTGATGGTCATTCTTCTCCAATTCTTTATGGACACTTTTCTTAGCTAAATACCAGGCAATAAAATTACTATTTTATAAGATTGGTATACATTAGTTTTTATGAGACATTGCCAGACCTTTTTGCAAAGCCTGTTCCATTGTGTGCTCCACCAACAAAGCATCAGAGTTCTGATTGCTCTGTGCACTCCCTAAAATGTGGTGCTGCGAGTTTTTTTTAATTTTAGTCATTCTAGTGAGTGTGCAGTGATATCTCCAGAATTTTAGTGTTTATTTTTCCCAGTACATAATAATGGCAAGCAGTTATCATGTGTTCACTGGCCATCTGTCTATCTTCTTCTTGGAAGTTATCTGTTCAATTTTTTTACCGTGACTTTTTTCATTGCCTGTGTTTTAAGTGTTGAATTGGAACAGTGATTTATATAACCAGGATACTGATCTTTCGTCAGATATATTTTGCATTTTCTTCCATCTTCTAGTTTCCCTTTTCTCAATGACACATACTGATTGAGGTGAATTCCTTAATTTTGATGAAGACTAATTTTTTTCTTTCATGACTTCTGTGGTCTAACAAATATTTGCTTATTCCCAGTTCACAAAGGCATTCTCCTGTTTTCTTCTAAAAGCTTTATACGTTTAGATTCTATGTTTGTTCTAAGGTCCGTCTCAATATTTGTATATGACATAAGTAGGGTTCACTTTTTCCATAGAAACACAGACATCCTATCACAATGTGAGAGACTAATTAGTATTTTTTTACAAATCAGTTGTTTCATGAACAGAGTCAGTGTCATTTTACAAACTGAAGGCTTCCTATGTGACAGCCTGAAAGTTTTGCCCAAAGAAGCTCAGAATTGGCATATAAACAATTTTGATTCAATGTGATGACTTCTCTTTTAGCAGTAAATGTGAAATACCATTGACAACATAGAGGAAAGGGCAACAAAGTACGCTAAAAAATTGGTATCACGGTAAATATCACTAATATTCAATAGGTTAAAAATGATTTAAGAAAGACAGAAACTAGTATTTATGAAGGTTAAGTACGGGATTGAATTGTTATTTTTGCAAAAATTTGGTCTAGGCAGAAATTGAAAATAAGTATTATCTTAATTTCTTTTCTTAGGCACATGCATTTTGGCTTTCATTTTCCCTTTAACCTTCTTTCAGAACAGACTCTGATTTCTCAGTTTTAGAAAGTCAGTGCTTGCTGAGGTGCTGTTCCCTCTTTTTCTCTTACCCTGGGTCTCTTCTCTCGCTCACAGGATACTACAATCAAACACAGTTTAGCACACAGCCATTAATCAATTTACGTTTTCTATTACTAGCTGACTATGACTTACCAGACTTCTTTCCTTTTGTAGCTGGGACTCTGAAGATATAATAATCTCAGTATGATCTTCAGTTACTGAATCTCACTCTCCCCCAGCCTATCCCCTTGTAAAACGGGGACAATGACATCCCAGACAGATTTTGGAGGGATTAAGTAAAATAACTATAAAGTATTTAGAGTAGAGCCTGGGACCCAGTAAATAACAGGTAAGTATGTGGCACAAGAAAAAGAACATAAAATAGTCACGTCCTGCTACTTATACAACAAAATATTGTAAGTTGAGAATGAAGAGCTATGAACACAGACTTGCCTGGAGACAGAGACTGTCACGTGGTCCATGAAGGACACAGTAGTGCTGACCTAGCCTGACATAGGCAAGACTTTGTAAAACCCTTAGTGTTTAAGATGAAATGTGTGCGCCATCTGCTGGTCATCATCCTGAAATGGGACTTGGAGGTCTGGAGAACACCCCAGCCAACTGCAGGCCCAGCCAAACCTTGGAGGCTTCCTGGAGCCTGAGTAGAGAAATGTGGATAGAGTATACACCTGTCATCCCCAAGAACAAAGAGTTCTGTGTGTTGCATGTGTCAACCTTCCCCAAGGCAAGGGTCAGATTACCAGGATTATATGCAGAGAAATGGAAACGTAGAACCTTGTCTAAAGAGGAGCTACTTTACTTTCTTAACTCATGGCATATACCAGAATGAAAGGTCCATGCAAAAGGCTAAGCCAGATAGCACTGCTGGTCCCCAAGAGCATAGTCCCCACAGGCTGAAGAGCAGTCAGGTAAAACTTCCCTTTGGCCTTGGGGCCCTCTATGCTGGGGCACGGGGTTTCTTCAGAAACACTGATGGCTGCTTATTTTGTACTTGTAATAAGTATTTTCAGTTTAAGACTGTAATCTTATAAAGTATTATTAACCCCATTTAATGGGTGAGGCTCAGAGACCTCAGAAAACTTGTTCAAGGCTATCTTGTTGCCAAGAAATGCATTATTTTGCTACGGCTGCCATAACAAGGTTCACACTAGTCTCAAACTACTGAGTTTTACTTTCTCCTCTTCCAGAGGCTAGCACCAAGATTAAGGTGTCAGAAGTCTGGTTTCTCCTGCAGCCTCTCTCCTTGGCTTGAGGCTGACCATCTCTTCACTGTGTCTCACATGGCATTTTCTCCGTGTACACACAACAGTGGTATCTCTTTGTATGTTTATATTTCCTCTTTTTTTGTTATTTATTTATTTATTTATTTATTTATTTATTTATTTGGTACTGGGGATTGAACTCACAACCATGTGCTTGCAAGGCAGGCACTTATGCCATTGAGCTAAATCCCGGGCTGTGTTTCCTCATTCAAGGACACTGCTCAGATTGAATTAGAGCACACATTAATGTTATCATTTTAACTTAATCTGTTTTTTGGTGGTGATGGGATTGAATCCAGCATCTAATGCATTCTAGGCAAACATTCTACCACTGAGCTACATCCCCAGTTGACTAAATATGTCTTTTGTGTGTGTGTGTGTGTGTTTTTCGTTTTTTTTTTTATCGGTACCAGGGATCGAACTCACGACTGCCTGCTTGCAAGGCAGGTGCTTATGCCACTGAGCTAAATCCCCAGCCCCTAAATATGTCTTTATAAGGCCTTTTCTCTTTGTATAGTCACATTTGGGGGTGGTGGTGTTCATCTGTTTCATTTATACTATTAGTTTCTCTTAGTTCATTTTTGTAAGACAGAGTCTTTAGTGTCTATGACTTGTACTCTGAATAACATTTTGGTCATTCTTTAAGATGATGGTACAATATACAGTATATTAACTATTGTTATTCTCAAATTATTTTTATGTAATTTTATTTTTCATAGAAGAAAAATGTTTGTAATACTTTATTACTATATACATGTAGTACATTAAAATAAAAATAAATTACAAAATAATGTTAATCTACAAATTTACCAAAGGCATGAGGAAAAATGGTGTGAATGCATAACCATATATTATGAAAAAGAGATTTTAATTCTGGATTCTTCAAAGAGTATCATATGAAAGTCTATTTTTCAACTAATTTAGCCAAGACTTAATAGATCCCCATAGAAAGAGGTTTCTGGTTCTACCTGTGACTGATACAAGCAGGAACTCTCACTAAGAAAGAAACATGCAGATGCTTGTTGCTATTGAAATTACTGATTAGGTGAATCACTGTTATCTGAACTCATGTTATCCAAATTCAGAACCAGATCAAACAAGGCCATATATTTGGCCAACTTTTCATTATCTCAATTCTTCTCATCATTTTGGACTCAGGAACCAAAATGATCTTGCAAATATCTTTTGTTACTCAAACATCAGCTTCTCAGGTTGGATTCCAAGGGATACTCTGTTGTCCAAATGTATTTATAACATTTCATATATATATATATATATATATATATGCATATATATGTGAATATATATACATACTAATACATATACATCCTTCCATCCATATACACATTTATATGTATGTATATAAAATACACATTTATATGCATATATATAAAATCTTTTTCCTGGGCAACATCTATTATTTACCACTATTCAGAATAAAAGAACATCATCTCATGCAAAATATCTGGACTGGAGTGTTTGTTGCTTTAATTACGCAGTCAGGCTTAATTCTGCCCTGAGGAAGTTTCTGAAGCTGGTATGGTATGGTACTTTAACACTCATGGTCATCACAGAAGGAAGAAAAAATTCTTGAAGTGCTGACTCTGAATTCCTATCACCTAGCACAGTGCTCTATATTAAACACTTCTTAAATGAGTGAACACTCAGGCCAGCTGGAAGGCAGAGGCAGACCAAGAAGGGTTCACATGTCCAAAGAGAGCGGTTAAAGTGCTTAACTTAGTATAAACATTTAGAACATATTTGTGGATTATAAATATATTGTTAAAAAGTGTTTAGTGTTCCTTTGGGCACAATTAATGCAATCACCTTCACGTACAATTTTTTCAAATATGAGATTTTTCTGTTTTTTTTTTTAAATCCCTCAAACTGTAAGTTTTACTTTTGTGTATTTAGAAGAAAATCAAGATAGATGTTTTATTAGTGTGGTAGAAGCAAACTCTTACCTGTGAACCAGAGTGTTCTTCAGGCCACCAACCAGGCCTCTGGCAATGGTCTTCACTCGGGGGGTGAGGATGGCCTGGGACACGTGGAAGGAGCCTCTCGGGGCTCGCTCACTCAGCGTGGTCTCCAGGAAGAGGATCAGTTTGCGCACGCTTGTGGTATTTGCCCAGGGTGCTGGAATTTTCTTTCCAGGCCAGAGGAAGGAATATTGCTTATAGAAGGGACAGTGGTAGAAAATAAGAACCTGAAATGTTCAAAAGAGCAAAAGAATGATTTGTGGGAAAGCTGAATGTCAACCCCTTGATTTTACACTGAATTTTAGGAGTAAACAAATATACTTGACATTTTAAAAGTTTATGTATTTTAAAAATCAAAGCAAAGATTTACAGTGCATTTGCCTTATGGTTGATGCAAAAAAAAAAGGGTTTTTTTTTTTTTGTCATGAACAACTATGGTAAAATCATAGAACAGTTTCTCAAAATTGTGTTTTAAATCAATGCATAAAATGAAATGCACAACATTATAGAGGAAATCAACAGCACAGAAATATATCTTTCAAAATATTAAATAATTTATAATATATGTATGTGCTTTGTGATAAATGTATTAAATAAAATTACTCTGTTGTGAGGACAATAAGTTCCATAATTCTGAGTTAGCAATATTGTAACATACCTTTAGAAACCAAAATGTGATCCATTCAGTGCTTTGCAATAAACAGTAGGTAGGCTACAACTGTTGTGGGCTACTGCCTAAACTCATAACTGATGAGTATATGAATTTTTACCTAAAGACCAGTAAAGATGAATCTGTGATTTTTTTACCATTTGAATTTAGTCTTGTGAAATGCTACCCACACAGCCCTGGGGCAGTCTTTGGACCTCAGTCTGAAAACTTTTAGGATGAACTAATTCATAATCTAGAAATTGCTTCTTGTGCTTAGGAAGTTGACACTGAGCTCTTAAGAGTTTAGAAAAACACACTGGATTAACTTGTGAGTAAACAGCCTTTCAGTGTATGTGAGTTGACTCTGAATGAAACCATCCTTCCCAGGAGAGGGAGGGAGTGTGCTGCTGGATCAGGGAAGACTTTACTGAAGCGGAGTCTCCAGTGGGGCTGCTCAGGATGATGGTAATTTTGAAAATAATTAGCAAGCTGCATCCACAGCATTAATTAGTGCTAGGAGGCAGCTGTGAGACAGAGAATTGCTATTTTGATTGTCCCAATTGAAAGCTCTGCTGGGTAGGTTTCTACAAGTCATGTGTTTTCCCCTGAGAGGCACTAGTGAGCTCTTCCTGGGGGAATGTCTGTGCACCATGTCCACAGCCAGCTGACCCGGAACATAATCCTCTAGCCCCCCCATGAACAGGGCTGTGTGAGTCACCTTTTTTGTAGCAGGCATTCAACTGGTGCACAGACACCTGATGAACCACCCATGAAGGCCCAGAGTGGGCGAGAGCCAGGCTAGAGGTTTCACAAGGGGTAATGGCTGTTCTTGTTTTCATTGGTTCTGAGTAATGCTGACAGACTGCTAATGATGTCTGTGGTAAATATGTGTGTTAATGAGGTTAATCACAAGCTCATCTTAAGCAGATTGCCTGGGTTAGCACAGAGGATTCCTTCCCTCCTCCCAGGTCATGCAACTGGTTCGTTTGGAAGGCTAGGGCCAAGGAGCTGAGCTGCCTTGGGCAATGAGGGAGGCAGGAGGCTGTGTAGCCTTGTGACAGGCTAGGTACACAGCATCCTGTGACTCTGGTCCCTGGTCCCTGTGGTCCTCGGGGTATAAGAAGACAATGCGGTCTTTTATTCTGCCTTGGAAAAGGTAGAAATAGTACAAATTTTACAGGAGGGGCTGACTTTCAAGACCTTGCTGAACTGAGGGTTATAGGAAATTTTGATTAGTAGGAAGCTAGCTAGCCCAGCAAGCAAACTCTCCTTTCTCAAGAATCTAGGTGTACTGACTCTTGGCTGGAGCACATTTCACGTCTGTATCCCCACCGCCTACTCTCTGCCTTTTTCCCCTCCTACAGTACTCCCCCCAGTTCACGTTCAGTTTTCCTCTTGAGACTCAGGTAAAAAAAAAAGTCTCATTTCCTTTAAGAATCATTCCTTAATTGACCTGCTCTTATTTTGATCATCCCTTTACTGAGCGCCTCTGGGATGCAAATTTATGCTATGTTCTACTTTTCAACTAATTTATTACAAAACCTCTTTCTTCATATTGTAGAGATCATTTAAGGCAGTCTTATCTTGCAATTGTATATCAATTGTTTTGTACTGCAGGAGGGTTCTATATTTTTACCTTGTCATTATCATCCTAAATACTTCCAAGATATAGATTCAATCTTCTGATTCATTGTGCCCTCAAAACCCATATCCTGTATCTATGAACTGTGTGTAATTGCATGAAATTTGAATGACAGTGTACTTCTTAAAATTGAATTGCAGTAACAAAATACTGGGGGGTGACATTAAGGTAGCTCACTACATAATGAATATTTAAAATCCAGTCACCTGTGTGACACCACCCCGGCAGGGGGAGGTGACTGGGAACTCTGAGATCTCCATCTTTTAATAAGAGATATGAAAAGAAAAACATGAGGAAGGAGATCAGAGGATCTTAGTACTTAAACTGCTGATGTTCTCCACTTCCCTGATACATCATCGGTCTCCTTCATAACTTTAGGAGTATCTGTAGTTGGACCACACACTTAAATTTGCCCACACTTAAAACTAAGATCTAACTCACTGCTAGAAATTCGCTGTCTACATTACTGACTGTTCCTGAAGGTTCTTCTTACTCCTACAGATTTTAGTCATTTAGTATGCAATACAGGAACCATTAGAATACTGTGTACAGAGTTATAAAATTTTGTATGAACTAAAATTTAATCTGACATGAATTGTATTCAAAAGCCACCACTTTTTCCCATTCTGTGAACTCTTAGAGGACCTCTGAAAATAAGGGCTTATTAATAAAGACGAAGTATTTGCATCAGTGACACACAGGACAGCAGCAGTGAATGTCACCCGGGTGTGTGAGCAGTCTACAGAGAGCAGCAGGAGCTGTGGGAATCTGGAGCATTTCTAATCCTGGAGTCATCCTCATGGAGAACGCTCCCTTCACAAGATGCTGTCTCCCTATTTCTCCGTTTCCTCGTCTTTCAGTGGGGATAATAACAAACTATCTATTTCATACTGTTGTTGAGAGGATACAATGGGTTAATCCAGGCACCTAACTCATTGTAATGGCTTAAAAGATATGGGCTGTTATTTTTATTACTACTATTCTATGATTTAATACAGAAATTCCACTGGAAGTAACATCTCTCCAAGTTAGATGCATGAGGGTCAGACATAACTTAAGTTTTATGGGTAGAGACATGATAAATATTTGACCAAGTATCATTTATAAAACTTTTAGTGAGGTAAAATGGCTTCGATATTTTTTAACAAATACCTAGAATTAACCCATTAAGTTTCCATGGAGCCAGAGATAGTGCTTTTACTGGTGTGTGCAAAGTGACCTGGTATTTCCAGTTACTCGGGCCACACCTGGGAGTTGTTCTTGAATCTGTACTTGCTTTCACACCTGGAATCTATCCCTGAGGGGTCCCTCGGTGGCTGCACCTTCTGATGGATTCCTAACTAACACTTTGCCACTAAGTCTCATCAGTTTCCTTACATTTGCTCAGTCCCTACCCCTGATGTTTTCCTATCACAAGAATCAGAGGGATCCCATCAAAGACTTAGTCACGCACAGGCTCCAAATTCTTCTGACATGGCTACTCCATCTCTCTGACCGCTTCCTGCTGCTCAGCCCTGGCATGCTCACTGACTATTTTCCTTACAAATTTCAGGGACCTCCCTACCTTAGAGCTAATGACTAACTGCTGCCTCTGTCTGCCAATATCAATCTGATTTATTCCTTCAAATGCCATCTTTTCAAAAAGGGCTGTATAAAACTGCGACCCACTGTTCTATCCACAGAGCCTATTTATTCTCCTTATATCACACTAGACTTTGTTTATAGCTCTTATCTATATCTATCTATCTATGCATCTATCTATGGTATTTATGATCTTTGTTCTATGTTCTATCATCCTCTACTTGAATGAAAGTTCCTTTAGGACAAATATCTTTGTCTAGTTTAATTACCCCTTTATCCCAAATCGTTAGAGTGGTGCATAGTGTATATTTGATGCTCAGTAAATATTTACACGTGAATAATCTTTAACTTTTAATTAAAAGATTTTTTGGAACATTTTGCTTAATGAATCTATTGAGCAAGTGAGCAACTTTGAATGAGAAGTACTTGCTGGTGTTTGTTTTCTTAAAGGGAGTCTAAACTGGTGGCTCCTCTTTCCTGAGGCTCATCGCTTTCCCCTTCCATCTCTTAGGGTCAGAGTGGAGTATGTCTGAGGCCCACATTCATTTTCCAGACTCTCTTTTACAGGCTTGGGTTTGGAGGCTCCTCTGTACTTGGTTAGCCTGGGAAAAGCTCCTGGACCCTTTTCCATGGCTTCTCCCTTCCTTAATTCTTCTCTTACTAGGATCCAAATCCATGAAGAAGATCTTTTAAAATATGAACACTCAAGTGATGAATGATTTCCTACGCTTCTGTCAGCTAGTGCTTTTACTTAGTATTCAGTAACTCCACGAGAATTATTTAAGGGGGCCTAGGTATGGGGTAATGATGAAACTTATAGGGGTTGAATGGTGATGACCAACTGACACATTTCCCAATTTTGCTTTGGGTTGGTTCTGGCCATTCTAAGTCAATTCAGCTGTTGAACAGATTACACAGCAAAAGGAGTTGGGTTCCTGTACTTGTCAGTTCTTTTCTGCCTCCCTCTTACCTGGTACTTTTTCTCCCACAGGGTTTGTAGGGTCAGACTTTCCACACTGCAGGCTGGGCACAGTTTGTTTCCAAATGCCTCCTGGATCCGGAGAATCAGGCATTTGTGATGGGCTTCATCCATGGCATAGAAGTGGTTGAAATCCAGGAAGATGACCTCTTGGGGGTGCTGTGTAAGGAATGAGTCGATCTCCATCAGCCCATCCCTGACCTTGATCCCAAAAAGCCCGTGGATGAAGTAAATCTCCTGATCAGCATCCCCTGGTTTAGAAGACACACGCAAGTCAAAGTAGCGGATTCCAGCTTCCAACTGCTCTCGGAAAGTCAAGTTCTGAGTCACAGACCATTTCTTCATGAGCTTCTTCACTAAGGAGATCCTGGCAAGACGCTTGACAGCTGGGGTCTGGTCAGGCCCTACTGGGGACTTTTCATCTACCCAGTAGCTGAATGAATCATGGGAGCCTGTACAAAGCAATAAGGGGGGTGGGCTGATGAGACTGAAGCTGTGAAAACTAAGCCAATCAACAGAAAACAACAATTAACCAAATATATAAAAGCATTGTAAATGAATGCTTGCAAAAATCACAAGCCTGCTGAAAACGAAACAAACACAAGTAAAAGTAATACAGTCTTATTAGCAGCTTGTTAAGCTCAGGGTAATAAAGTTTTAAGTATCATATATTGCCAGTGTAAAGTAAATTAGTACATATATTTTTGGAAAGCTATTGAGAAATATGCTTAGAAACAGGAGCTTTACAATATTCATATGACTTGATCTAGTAATATCATTTCATGAAAGCTATTCTGAGGAAATAAACTCAAATGTTTGGAAAAATAAAACTGGTTGCTAAAGCATATCCATAACATAGACAAACTGCAGATTTCTGAAGTGCCCCTCAAAAAATGCTTATTGGCGGCATATATTCTTTATTAATACTTGCATTAAAACAAAGAGTATGAAAATACTGTGTCTATATCCCTAACTCTGGGATAGGTATTTTAATTCTAGGGAAAAATTTAAAAAATTTGACTGTTTTATTTAGATTGTGTGTGTGTGTGTCTGTGTGTGTGATGGTGGTTTTGGGGAGTATTAGGGAGTGAACTCAGAAAATGCCAAGGACTTGTTTCTCTCCCCATCTCCCCTTCTCTCCCCTCTCTTGTAGCAGAAAATGCATCCCCAGCCAGTATACTTCAGTTTCTGTTAGTTGCCCAAGTAACCTCCAGTTTACTTCAGTTCCTGTTACAGTTCCTGTTATTTCTGTTTCCTAGAAGTGGTCACTGTGATGCATACCTGGCCACTATGATACATATTGTAAGAATCAACCAATAATTGCCAAGTATTCAGCTTCTTGACTGCAAACCCATAAAAACCTCCATCCCTGAGCCTTCAGGCCTAACATGTTTTAGAGGTCTGTGCCTGTTGACATAAATAAATCTGCCTCCAAATCCTGGGTGACAGTTTAGTGTTTCTGTCTGCTACTGCATTCCTCCCCTTCCCTCCCCGACTGCTCCTTTTCTGCTAACTTCCTCAGGCTAGGCTCATACTTGATCATTCTGCAAGAGCTGCCTGATTATCTGGGATTACAGGTACATGCCATTGCACCCAACTTTTTAATGCCTTTAAAGTATAAAACATTTAAAATGGTAAGTGTGCATGCTGTTTTACTACTGTAAAAATTTGAGTCAATAGGAATGATTTCTTGACAGATCAGATAAACATTTAGATGGGTGCAACAGAGGATGTTGATATCTTTCTATTTTTGAACTAATATTTTGATGGGCTAAAACTGTTATTAAATGATCCAACTGCATATTTCACTTCTTTAAACAGCCAGAGGCTTGGCATCCTCCTAGACACAGATTATCTCATTACAGAGTATGAGTGATCATGACAGCCACGTTTATAACTATAGGGAACAAATATTTCAAAAGTAAATATTTTAGATGAAAATAATCTTTAATCACTATCATTCACCATCATGTTTAACTCACACAACAGCTTAATTTGGTTAGTACTGTGACATGTACAATCTAAGAGAATTCCTTGTTCTGACATTACTTTGTCTTTGGTTACTACATCTATATTAAAATTTTTTATTTTGAAGAGAACTAAAAAACAATAAAAATGACACAGAATTTCAAAACAAGATGATAGGAAATTAACAATGGTTATTATATTGCATATTGTTGTCTTCAAAATAGTTACTCTGATTACCAAACATGGTATGCAAAACTGATCAAACAATATAAACACTGTCCCCTTCAATAACTAATGGATTGAGTAGTACAATTATCTTAGTTATCTTGTGTATTCATATTTCATTGTCACCAATAATCCACTTTACTAATTTTAGAGCAGACAATTCATATATAACATACACTTTTGCAAATCTCTACAGTGTTATGTTATGTTATGTCTATTCTCTTGGAAATAAATCATAGCTCTGCCTTTGCTATTTTATCATCTCAGATATAAAAGTAGTCTTTACTAATTTACCATTTTATCTATAAAGTTAAAAAAAACAGTTGATAAATGAGGCTTTAATTCTATGTACATCTAGAACTTGGAAGAGATTCATTAAGTATGGAGAAAAAACACATTTATTAATTCTTAGGCAAATTGAATTTTGCAAGTGAGATAATTACCAGCATATTTCAGGTAAAAAAAAATGCCACTGCTAATACAAATGTGGAGCAACTCCCCCTGGATCTTCCTCGTTGGTTATCATTGTTAATGGCACCCACTGGATACTTGCCCAATGCTCTGTGCTTCATGTAGCTGTTCAGAAACAGAAAAATTTTTGTATCTCTTTATTGAGAGATTTATTAGGACTACCTTCTGTGTAGATGGTGAGCAAACAGTTCTCTTTTTCTTTAACACTGTATTAACAGCCCAGCTGTTCACGATGCAGTGTGTAATGTACTGTGAGGCACATATTGGATTTAATTCTTCTGGGCATCAGGGAATAGCCATTATCCAGGCATGGAAGACAGTCAAATCCCCTCTGGTGTCTGCTTGTTGGTGCTGAGCCCAGTTTCGTCTCCAGAGGGAGATGTGCTAACAACCGTCAACACTTAGTTCCATGTCTGAGGGCTGCAGAAATGTGACAGCAATGGAGCTCCAGGGGCTCTTTCTGAAGGCATAGGGACACACACGGTAGCCAGCCCACCCCGCTGAAGAGGGAGAACCTGTACAATCCCATGGCTACCCTTTACCTTTGTTCCCTTTTTGCTCCTCTGCCCTGTCTTATCCTTTCCGACATCCTGTGCTCCCCACCCATCTTCCTGTGTTCCCTTACAGGACAAGACAATGGAACAGATTTTTCTGTGAATGTTTTATCTTGTTCTACCTAGGTCCACAGCAATCAAAGCATCACAACTGAGTAGTTTTTCTACTTATTTTTTCCTAGAAAGCTTCTGCCTCACATAGAGTAAGTGAAATAATATTTAAGTCATATGATGTACTTCAGTGCATTTAACTGTTTTTTTTTAACAATAGGCTAAAAATGCAGTAGAATCTGCAACAGTGCTAATAAAAATTCTAGTAGTTTACAGTGAAAATTCATTATCAAAACTTTCTTCCTTTCTGCCTTCCCCATGGGAGCTATTTTAGTTGTTAAAGAGTTTACAGTATGAAAATTTCTCTCTTTGCCTTGGGACATAAAAAATTAAATCCATGCACCCCAGAGAATGAAAAATACAGTTCATTGGTCCTCGTCTTCGCTAAAGCACTGCTGCATGAGACAGCAGTTTCTGGCTTGACAAATGACAACATCAGAAAACAGTTTAGACCTCATTAAATAGTGTGACTTTCTGCCATTGAAACTTTGACTGCCACCACCTGGCATTTCCCAGGCATCTTCATTTACCTTACTATAACTAACTTTGAAGACGGCTATTATTTTTTGTCTAAAAAAGAATTCAGCAACGCTCTTTAACTTGAAGCACTGTTCCCCACATATCTTCTCCTTTACACTAATGTCTTTTCTTTCCTTCTGATGGCCAAAATCTTGACCATCCTGAGCAGACCTGCTGTGTTCATCCACTTTGACCCATTCACTCCTTCCCACCCCTACATCTCCTCTCCTCCTGTTGTAATTCTCGATCCTGACCCATTTCGTTTATTCTTCTTGGTTCTGAGTGTCCGCCAGCTCACTGTCTGGAATCTTCTGCTCCGTTATGCTCACAGTGGCTGCATGCTTGCGGGTGCTCTAGCCTTCCTTCACCTCCCCTTCATGTGTCCTTTGTTTGCTCCTCTTGCTCTTTTTATCCCAAATTTAAATGTTGTCTGAGTATCTGTTCTCTATTTTCTTCCTTTTTTTCACCTTCAGAGATTCCACATTTTTTTCTAGTTAACCACAGCACCATTATGTAAGTGATAACTTCCAAATTTATGTTTCCACCTTCCTGCAGAGATCCCCTCAGCTGATAGCTTGCACATACAATGAGCTACATATTTCCAAAGTCCAGCTATTCACCAGGTGCCTGCCTTGACTTTCTGATAGCAGTTCACCCAGTCACTTGAACTTGCAAGGTTGATTTCTATTTAAATTCTTCCCTTTCCCTCATCCATTTCTTCTATTCAGCTAACAAACATTTTGTTTGATTTTTGCAACACAGTATCAATCGTTTCTTTCCCTTGCCTTCAACTTCCATTCCTCATGAATACACTCATTACTGTCAGACAGTCAGGACTAAAAGAACCCTAACCCTTTCACTCCAGCCTCTAACTTGTTCATATTCACAGGAAGGCACTGATCTTAAGCTACACCTCTAATTTACTTGCCTCCCATCTCCCAAATCAGGTTCCCAATCTGATCACAGAGTTAGGACCTCTCCAGTCTGGCTCTAATGGCTCATTTCTGACTGATCCCTCCCCAGGGTCTTCCACATCACCTTGCATCACTGGAGTGCAATATACAAAGATAGAAAAATTTCTTCCTGGACTCTGTTCACTGTCCTCTGTGGAGACCTTTTATGAACTATTCTCTTATTCCAAGTTTTTCTCTATGTTCTCCCTAGCATTTATAGCTCATGAGAAAGTTGCTCAGTCTGTGTTTTAGTTTCCTCATCCATAAAATGGGCACAATAAGGTCTATCACCCCAAAATTGTTGTGAACATCAAAGTGTACACAAACTGCTTACCACAACGGTGACACACATTAAGTGCCAAACTATCAAAATGATTATTAGCCATTATTGGTGAGTTAGAAACCAGAGGGCAAAGGGCTTCTGAACCGCAGGTTATCTTAAATATTGAGGGTCTGGAAATTTTGTTTTCTATACCTGACTCCCTGTTCCTCTCCATCTTATTGGCTGATATACAGATGACAGTTTAATATTCATATTGTACAAAGTAGCCACTGTTCTCTTGGTCACAGACTAAATTCTGTCTTTAGGCAATTTTAACTGCCTCATTGCAACTGGATTTCTAGCTTTAAAAAAAAAATTATTTTGAAAGT